CTAATATTTTTTCTCACTAAAATGGCTGTTCCACCAAGGGCTCTGCCACTTGGATGTTTTGTATCATAAGTGTAGTATCCATTAATTCTGAAACAATTCTTTAGGGTAAAGTGTGTTTCAGAGACGAGTAGTACGTCAATTTCCTGAAGTAGCAGGAATTGTTCTACTTCATTCTTGTGTTGGCTAAGGCCGTTAGCATTCCAAAAACAAATTCTTAGAGAATTCATTTTTTATTTAGCAGGATCTGCATGAGCATGCTTTGATTCTGCATTAATTGTTGAAACATATTTTGCATATTTGCCATGAAACTGTTCATGGTTTGAATTAGATTCTCAATAGAGCTTTGAGAATTTGTTTCGGGTGCAGGCACACCCTCTTTTAATGCATGTGCATATGAAAATAATGGGGCATTATTTTCATTGTTTGATTGCAAATTCTCATTATTCTTATTTGTAAGACTTCTATATTGGGCACTAGAAGTTTGATTTGCATTCATTTGGGTAACGGAACCCTCTTTTGTCGTATGGGCATACGATTTATTCTGATTGCTTTTATTTGTGATACTTCTATATTGAGCACTAGAAGTATTAGGAAGGCTTGGGAAGTTAGAAGCTTTATATTGAGCATATAAAGGTCTTCTGGCCTTATTTGATTGTTGGATGTGTAGATATACTGGACATCCGCGATAGTTAGCAGTGTGATTTTGACCACAGTTACTGCATTTTCTTTTATTGTTATCTGTTTTTGGGTAAGGACAATCTTGACTCTTATGGATGTCTCCGCATCTCACACAAACAGATGGTAATTTGCAGAAAGTTCTGGTGTGACCGAACTCTTGGCAATTTAGGCATTGAGGAGGACCTCTGCGCTTAATGGGTTCCTCTACAGTTATTTTGCGATTGAGAAGATATCTTAAACTGTATATTGGATGAGTATCACCCTTTTTTTTCAATTGTGAAGAGTTAAAAGTAATTTCAACTCTAAACATTGGTTGGGGAATTTTGTCCTTGTTAAATATATTGTGAATGGACTTCACTTCATAACCTTCAGACTCTAGCGCCTTTTTAATGTCATCAGTTGGTACAGAGCTGTCTACACCTTTGATAACTACTGTCAAACCCTTTGCACTTTTTAGTTGATACGTGTAATAATTTCTTTTCTCAGAATCAAAACTATCAACTATTGTTCTAAAAGACTTTTCTGAATAAGTCTGTATTTTTGTTTCCTGAATGTTTCCTTTCCGTAGAGAGACTACATGGAAATTTTCTTTGCCTACAAGTTGGGACAACTTATTTACCAATAGATTGGTGGTAGGTTCGCGCAAATAGAGGGGAGGTGGCTTTTGGTCTTTTAAAGTCATGGATGGTACTTTTTCACTTTCTTGGTTATCAAGCAGTGCAAAACGATTTTAATTTGTTTATAGACTTAATAATAAATCAAAAATGGTTAGGTGTTGAGAAAAATATAAAAAATCAAAAATGGTTAGGTGTTGAGAAAAATATAAAAAATCAAAATTAAATAATTTTGAAATATTAATTTTTGGTTCGAATTTTTATAGGGTCTTTAATTAAGAATAAAACAAAATGGTTAAAAGTGTTGAGAAAAATATAATAAATATAAATTAGACCAATTTGTTGGGAAATATTTGCCATTAATTAATTATAATATAACTTGCCCGTTTAATTACAAATGGGCAGTTTTAAAAAAAAAAAAAAATTTCAAAAATACTTTCAAAATTTTAATTGATCACAAAAGTGTTAAAAACGCGGAAATTTATATAAACCTATCTCAAATTAATACATAATAAATTTTCAATGTAAAAATAATATTTTTATAGTTTTGGCCAAAAAACATGATAAGCCAGACCTATGTGGCATGTTAAAATAGTTATTGCAAATTTCATATTTCAGAAAATACTCTGATAATTAAAAAAATTATTTTATTTTGCATTTTCTTTCCAAACTCAAAATTTTGCAAATAAAAAAAATTCGAAGAAATTTTCCTAAAATAAGGGATGTTTTTCAATGCATTGCAAAAAGAACTAGGTTAATATCTCAGTCGGTTTGAAAAATATGGGCATTGGAAGTAGCTTTCTCGTATATTTTTATATCGAATCGAAGTACAATATTATTATTCTTTTATTTTTGCAAAAAATTTTGTTTTCGCCGAATTTGAAAACATAATATTAATTATATGTCATTATTACCCAGCAAAATCTTTGCTTACAATGATTACCATTAAGTACTTCATTAATGACTTACTTTGTAGGCAAAGTCTAAAATAAATCAAAATAAAGAAACAAACAAAAATAAAACAGTTAGCTTTTCTGTTTTTTCCTTTTTTTGTGCACACGATATCAAATGTCTATTTTTAGACAAACAGAAAATAAAATAGTATTTGTGTGTGAAAACTATTATTTGACGCACAATAAAACAGCAAAGCAGAGGTGTAGTAAGAGTAGCATTCAACTGGTAGACGGAAGGTACTGAGTTCAACTCCAGTCTGTGCCGACTTTTTATTTTTTCATAAATATTCTATAAATAACTCTACTAAAAACAACTTATTTCCAACCAAATAATATTGACTTACTTTTGGAACATCTCAAACAAAAATAAGTACTTTTTCTAGTAGAATTGTAAACACTTTACTCCATGAGTTCTGGTGATTTTTCTAGTGAATTTGTAAGCAAATATTTTGCTGGGTATGTATGAATTAATAGTGAATGTGTTCAAGTGTAGTTGAACATGCTACTTTTTACTATTCTATTTTTATCAGTGTATATGTTCTAGAAATAATGTAATTTTATGACCTTTCATGTTTTTCCCAAATCGCATGCGTGCATTACTTAGATAAGAAAAACCAACCCTAATTGTTCACACATGTGTTTATATTTGTGTTATCACATAGGACTTGTAGACATTATAGATAAGATATTGTGCGCATGGTCACGTATACATGCCTACTATATTAGACTAAGATTCTAGTAAATAGTACTTAAGATTGCAATAAAATAAAATAAATTTAAGTGTGTTAAAAAAAATACGCTTCAACATTTGGTCCTTCGAAGAGATTGTACCGGCAAAACGAAGAAAAAAAATATATTAATTCAAAAATAAAACACAACTTTCAAAAAACAAATTAAAACGCCCCCTTTCAAAAGAAATATATATATATAAAAACAATCATGTCGAGCAGATTGAATCTCTACAAAGTTCAACACCAAATTCACAAGGAAATTAATAACATTTCCGAAAAAATAAAAGGAAAGCTGGTAAGGAAGGCTGCCATTGAGGAGACAAAAAAGAGCCTTCATAGCAAATGGGAAGAGTTCCAATTAAATAATGCCAAATTGGAAGCCCATGGGGTCAATGACGACCAATATTTCAGAGAGAATGTCTTTGAAAACACAAAAGCATTGCTGCAAAATGCAATCATTTTATTAGATGAACTAAAATCCGAACCTGAACAGCAAGAAGTACAGGAGCAAGGAAACTTTAGCAACGTAGATGAAAAGTTGCAGCATTTTCAAAAACAAATGCAACAACAAATGCAACAACAGATGCAACAACAAATGCAACAAATGATTCAAGCACTTAATGTTGCAAACCAACAATCTTTAGTAGAGCCTAAAATTATTTAGAAAGATGAGAAATGCCTTCTAAAGAAAGCGCAATACTAAATCAATTTAGAAGAAAGGTTCAAAAATTAAGAGAAGCCCTCGAGGAGGAACAAAATGCAGATAGCGCATTTGAATTGGAAAAAACTATATCTTCTTGGGAGAAGCAGATCCATGATATAAGACTACTCCAGTCAGATTTATCCATTAATTTTTTAATGGGGCAACAAGTCGATGAAGAGTTTGAGGAAATCGACAAATTATATGAAATAAAATCAAAGGAAATGATGAAGAAGTTTCCCAAGTTCAATGAGAATACAAAACCAATAGCTTTGAAGAACATCGAAATTCCATATTTTAGCGGAAAAGTGGAAGAATGGAATTCCTTCCATGATTTATTCAAAAAACTAGTAGACGAAAACCCAAAACTAGCAGACGTTGAAAAATTATATTATTTAAAAACTAATTTAAAAGATGAGGCGCTTAAATTGGTTCAACATTTGGCAATAACTGGCAACAATTACAATGCAGCTTGGGAAATATTAACCCAAAGATACGGCAATAGAAGATAAAATACTTGGACAGAGCACTAAATTAGGATGGATTCTCTCTGGGGTGATTCGAGTAAACCGTGACAACAAGAGAAAATCAGTGGCTACAACTAGCATTGAAAGATTCTGGGAGATAGAGGAAGTAGAAGATGAAAATATAGCAGTCGAGAATGATAATTGTCTACAACTGTATGCCGAAACAACAAGAAGAGATGAAGATGGTAAATTTGTAGTCAGGCTACCATTTTCGGAAGACTGCGAGCTTGGGGATTCTTTTAAGAAGGCGATTGCTCGTTTTATGAGTCTAGAGAGGCGACTTAACGAAAATCCATTATTGAAAAATGAATATTGTAAAACAATGGATGAATTGCTGTTAATGGGCCATATGGAGAAAGTAGATCCAACCTGCAATGGTAAATATTACTTACCTCATCAAGCAGTAGTACGAGAAAACAGCCTAACAACAAAAGTAAGAGTGTTGTTCGACGCGTCTTCCAAAACGACAAACGGTAGAAGCCTGAATGACGTGTTGCAAGTAGGTCCAAAGCTACAAAAGGACATATTTGACATAATTACAAAATGGAGGTCTTGGAAATATGTAATATCAGCGGATGTTGAGAAAATGTTTCGCCAAATAAAAATCTACAAACCTGATCAAGAGTACCAATATATTTTATGGAGAAGGAATCCAGATAATCCGATTGAGCAATACAAATTAACTACTGTAACGTATGGTACAACTTCACCCCATTTTTGCGATTCGAACCCTGATCGAAATTGCCAACCATTGTAAAAATGAAGATATTGCTGTGAGAATAAAGGAGGACTTTTACATGGATGATTTGTTAACTGGAGCTGACACGCTACAAGAGTGTAAGAAGCACTTGGAAAAATTTGGTTTCCACTTAAGAAAATGGATATCCAATAAATATGATATTGTGAGATCTGACTCAACAGCAGAAAACAATGAAGTACTAGATATTCAAGAAGATGAATGTCTAAAAACGTTGGGATTGCAATGGAACCCTACGACGGACAATTTCACCTTTAGAATGCAGCCCGAAGAGGACACTAAAATTACAAAACGCATTGCCTTATCACGCCTGGCTAGAATATTCGATCCATTAGGATGGCTAACACCAATTACTGTGACAGCAAAATTGTTTATACAACAACTCTGGAGACTACAATCCAACTGGGATGAACCATTGGATGAAAATCTTAGTAAAGAGTGGAACACATTTTCTCAGAGCTTACCAGCAATAACAGAAATAAAAATAAAGCGATGGATTCCACAAGCAAATCAATCATCAATTCAGTTACATGGGCTTGCAGACGCCTCGGAGAAAGCTTACGCAGCAGTGGTTTATGCGAAAACTAGCTCATCAATAACTATAGTAGCTGCAAAAAGCAAGGTTAATCCTATCAAGAACAGGAAGACTCTTCCTAAACTTGAACTGTGTGCAGCTCATCTTTTGGCTAAACTATTAAATAAAGTTAAACGCAACTTTAATTCGGATGCGGATATCTATGCTTGGAGTGATTCCATGATAACGTTATCGTGGATAAAAAAATCAGCGAATAAGGAGAAATTTATAAGAACCAGGGTTTCGGAAATAAATCAACTGATGCCAAATGTGAAATGGGGTTATGTAAAGTCAAAGGAGAATCCAGCTGACATCGGGTCACGAGGCATTAATCCCGAAAAATTGGAAAGGTGTTCCCTCTGGTGGTTGGGTCCAGAGTGGCTCCAAACTGAAGGAAAAAATTGGCCATCAGATGAACCAGAAATAAAGGTGGTTACAGCAATAAAGATATCACAGCCGTCTTATCTTCATGAGGTTACTAGCCGATTTTCATCTTATCGCAAAATGAAGCGTGTGTTTGCTTACGTGCTTAGATTCATCAGGAAAATAAAGGGCGACAACAACTTTCCTACTTTTTTGACAACGAAAGAGTTAGATGAAGCAGAAATACTGATAGTAAAGCTTCATCAAATGGTATACCTACCAAACGAGCTGATTGAATTAAAAAACAAGCGTCCAATAGATCATCGCAGTAAAATAGCTGCTCTTAATCCTCAGTTAGATGAACATAGTGCTATTAGAGTGGGAGGTCGTTTGGAATTTTCTGATATAAACTACAACATGAAACATCCAATAATTATTCAGAAGTCTCAATTAGCAGATTTAATTGTACGTGACACACATTATATAACACTTCATGGAGGCAACCGTCTTATGGAAAACATAATCAGAAGGAATTATTGGATAATTGATCTAAAAAATAGAATAAAGAAATGCATTCATACCTGCGTTAAATGCATTAGATTCAAACAAGAACAACGACACCAATTAATGGGTTTACTTCCTGCATACAGGGTAAACATTTCACAGCCTTTTGCACATTGTGGAATAGACTATGCAGGGCCCATCCAAATAAAGTGCTCTAATGGAAGAGGTCAAAAATCTTTCAAAGGTTATGTAGCCGTATTTGTATGTATGGCAACAAAGGCAGTTCATCTCGAAGCAGTTAGCAATTTAACTACAGAAGCCTTTCTTGCGGCTTTAAAGAGATTTTTTGACAGAAGAGGTAAAAGCAATCACATTTATTCGGACAATGGTACGAATTTCATAGGCGCAGCTCGACAAACTGATAAGGAATTTGTAGCAGCTCTTAAGAATAATTCCACAGTTGCACCTTTATTGGAAGAAGATAAAATTCAGTGGCATTTTATCCCCCCGGCAAGTCCTCACTTTGGAGGAATATGGGAAGCTGCGGTCAAATCTATGAAATATCATATGAAGAGAATCATAGGCGAGCATCGATTAACTTTCGAAGAAATGACCACTTTATTGACACAAATTGAAGCAGTTTTAAACTCAAGGCCATTACATCAGCTTGATAGTTGTCCAGACAGCATTGAGACATTAACACCAGGACATTTTCTAATTGGCCGTCCTATGATGGAGTATCCAGAAAAGAATGACGACTTTAAAGTTAGCTGTTTGGATAGATGGAAGCTTCTACAAAAGCTTAAAAATCATTTTTGGAAGAAATGGAAGATAGATTATTTGTCTTCCTTGCAACAAAGATCCAAGTGGAAAAAGTCGTATGACAACCTAGAAAAAGGTCAGGTTGTTATCATTAAGAACGAGGAAACATATCCAGCACGATGGCCATTGGGGAAAGTTATAGATATTCATCCAGGAAAGGATGATATTGTGAGAGTTGTTACTTTAAAAACCAAGAACGGAATATTAAAGAGGCCGATACATAAACTATGCCCATTAGAACATCGGAAAATATGCGAAGAGTCTCTCCAAGAAACCAGCCCAGAAACAACAGCACTAACAATGAATGTTCGTGAAATAAAGCCCAATACGGCAATATACTTGGATACTATTAACCAAATTAACGTAGTGTCTTCATCGTGGAATCTTGTAGTATATTACGAAATGCGACCGTATTTTGAAGTGTTGAACAGAGCAGTGGAATTACTAAATCAATCCAAAGAAATATGCCCTAAACTGGATACGTTTAAAGATCAGTGTTGGTCAGTAATAACGAATATGGAATACCAGGTAAATAAGCTCGAAACCAATAATGGCTTATTTCTCAATAACAAAATACGTAAAAGACGAGATGCACCCTTGAAGTTTATAGGATCTCTACATCATGTGTTGTTTGGTTTAATGGACGAAGATGATCGAGAAAGCCTCGAGAATAACATGAAAAACCTGCTAGCCAATCAAGAAGATCTAAAGGTATTATCCAAAAAGCAAACATCAGTAGTCGATTCTACCTACTGAAAAGAACTACGGAAGAAGTAAATCTTCATTTTGCGGATATGAAAGCTAAAATGGAAAACATTAGCACTACAATGAGGGAACGTCACTTTGTGTATAGGGAGTCTATACGATTCTTTATGATAACCAAGCAACTGCACGATTTATTAGATGAATGCAACGAAATTCAAAAGGAGGCGATCGATTTGTTACTCAGCATAAATAATGGAAAAATACACCCCATATTGATTAACCCTCAACAGCTGCAGTTGGAAATCACTAAAATTCGAGAATTAATTCCTGACAAATTTATTCTGCCCGGAAAAAATAGTGGAACTGAGTTAAAAGAAATCTGGCATCTTTTAACAGGCACTGGATTATTTGTGGGAAGCCAACTGGTGATCGATCTGAAAATACCGCTTTTCAATCGACAGTCATCGCAAATCTATAAAATAGTACCAGTACCATTTATTCAAGATGGTGTGGCCTTGATGGCCAAAATAAAATCACCTTATATAGTCTATAACTATGAAATAGACTCATTTCATTTCTTGACCGATGCAGTGCTCAACGAGTGTAAACGCACTTTAAGTCAGGAATTAGTATGTGAAGAAAATTTCCCATGGATAGATGCCGCCAAAAACGAATGCGAATTATCACCATTGAAGCCACATACAATTTTCAATTGTAAATACGAGGAAATTGAGAAACTACCTTTCTGGATTGAGCTTCACATAAAAGGTAATTGGCTATTCAAGACATTTAAAGAGACATCAGCACACATAAAGTGTTCCAATCAGCAGCAAATGATACTAGAATTGCCGCGGCAAGGCATTCTAACTTTATATGAAGATTGTACTGCACGTATTGATGACGTAACATTGGTAGCAGTACACAAGATGAAGGATAGGTTAAGCAGTAAATTTCAATCATTCTTGACGAGAGATGCCAACGTAGACAAAGATAATTTCATAAAACCACTGGGTAACGTTCTTGTGAATCACGACCAAGAAATTTCTAAATTGAAGACACACGTAGAAGAGCTGAAAAAGCAGAACATCAAGCTGAGAGATGTATCATTTCATCAGAGATGTATCATTTCATCACTGTGTTAAAAAAAATACGCTTCAACAGAATGTGTTTAAATTGATAAAAATTTTGCTATATATGTGAATTTATTTTTGAGGTTATGAAATCTGGTCATAAAATTGTATATCCTTAAAATATTTTAATGCGCACCGAATTTTGGTATGATACAAAAAGAAAGCTTTTATTTGACACTAATATTTGCGCAAATCATATGGCGCTTTAGTTGTTTGAAAGCAAAATGTTTTTTCAGATAAACGCTGCTAGGACCGCTATAAAAGAAGAAATTTTGTTTTTCTTTCGCAATATCTATTTAATCCGCCAATAAAATTTACTGCATAAAATTTACAACATTTTTGCATCACGTCTTTAGTTAAAAATACAAAGAAAAAAATTAAATTTTGCAAAAATTTTAAAATTATCATAAAAATTTTGCATTTACAAATTTTTTAATGCGCATTTGACTCGGAGGTGTCAATTATAATGAGATTAAATTTACGCGGTATTACAACTGTATTCGTAAATAGCTATGAATGTCACATTTTTAAAAAATTTACGCCTATTGTTGACAAGTTTGTAAAGGTCCTACTCTGTCCTTAGATCTCTGACATCAACAAGATATAAGTAAAATTGCGTGAAATTACTACACCTATTAAATACCGTTACTTAAATTTAATTTGATTTATGCGCGCACATGGACTATACAAAAAACTAAAAAAAATAAAAAAAAACACAAAATTTTGGTAACATTTGTTTACAACCGTATATATTTGCAACTAAAAGTATTAATGAAATTATTATAAGGCTTTTTAAATATCCGAAGCCTTGTGACTCTTATTTATAAATGATGGCTCTGTAAGTTATGAACTGAGAGTACAGTTTTGAAATTTATGAAAAAACTCTGGTAAATTTCAAAGCATTTTTTTAATTTTAAATGTTCATAAAGTTGAGAGATAATAAGCTAGTTGTCTGAAATTATGGACATACATGTGTTTTGGTATATTATACCGAAATGTATCAAAACATTTACTTATTTTTCTTATTCAGTTTCACTGACTTATGAGCAAAGACTATAAATATATAAAAATGTTGCACACAGTAAGGGTTTTCATGAAACACATGTGAAAACTTGCACATTTGCACAAATGGCTATCTGCATTATTTAGAAGAAAACAATTAGTTTAAAATGATCAGTTGATGAGTGGGCTAGGTAACAGGGAAGCTAAATCATCGTGCTCACTCTCATGTTTACTGAGAGAATTAGAGAGAACAAAAAGCTTATATGAAGTTGGTGATCCTAATGATTTAAGAAGTTATACCAAACATTCATGTTTTATGTACCACCGCATTGTTTTTGGTCAGCTTTTTACGTTAATTACTAAAGTACTTTATTTCATCTTTCATTTCCAAGATCAATTTTATAATTTGTTTTTTCGTTTAAGTTGAAAAAATTATCTGAAAATATCTGTATTTCGAATTACATTTTAATTTTTTTATGAAAAAGCAACTTTAGTGGCTTATTATTAAAGAATAATTTAGTGTTGATGGAAACAAAATGCAGTTTATGTAGCTCCGAAGTACTGCATTAAAAAATTTGTTAAAATGCGACATCAAATAAATATTTTGGCCAAAAAAGTGGTCGTCTGAACCATAGTGAATAGTAACCAAATGTAAATATAATTTGCAGCAAAATTTGTTTTAAAATAAAGCTTTAAAAATTACTACTAAATTTTAACATTTAATTATGGTATTTAATTAATGTATGTAATAAGTAAGTGATTATTTTCATAATTTGCTAGTTTTATATCTCTAAATATGTAATTCTAAAAATTTATATAATAAAGGTTTTTTATTTCGGTGCGAATCGATATAGTTTCATTTCTACAACAATAAAACACGTATTCTTACCCTACAATAACACAAATGGTAACATTTCTTTTCCACAGTTTATTTGCACATAAATTTTGTGAAAACAAGACTTCTTTTAGTTTATCTTTATATATTTAGAGCAGTGCTGCCCATACACATACTGTTACACATTAATTTGTATTGGTAAAGCTGCAGAGAACAAAATGTAACCCAAAATAAAACTGTACTAATAAAATGACTGCAAACTAAAAAGTATATTCTAACTGTCAAATTGATATTAAGGATTTTGACAGACAGCGTACACTAAAGTTCATATATAAAAAACTATCAGCTGTGCTCTCTCATTCATCTACATAAATTCGGCTTTCTCAAAATTTTGTTGTTATATTTCTGTGTGGATTTTAAAAAAGTTGCGTACAGATCTTACTTTGACAAATGCTGATCAGCAACTGAGTTGATTTTGTTTTGCAAGTTGAGAGATAATCAACACATGCTCAAATCATAAAGAAATAAACACAGATGGCGACATGGCTCTCTTAAAAAAGTACTCTTAAGCTCAGTGACGTCATCAGTGTCTAGAACTGATTTTATGATATGAGAATTGTATGTGATTTATAATAGAAAAGTAAATAATTATGTTTAAAACTTATTTGTGTCTAATAAAATAAAATGTATTTTACGTTTTATGTTATTAGGAATATTTAACTTATTTAAATACTAAACTTATTTAAATATAATAGGGACTAATCTATTTATTACAGAAATCATTTGCTTCATACTAACCCATTTCGAATTGTAAATTGTTTTCAAAGTCTTAGGTTTTGAAATGCTCCATGCAGATTTTAGACGTTTTAACGTTAATTTTTTTATTGCGGCAACAAAAACTTATCCATTGCTTTAATAAGCTAGGATCTGAAGGAAAGTTAAAAAAACTTATTGCACATGATTTTGATTTTTTGTTATTATTATTATTATTATTATTGCAATTTTTGACTGCACACCACATTTTAAATTTTAATTTACTTATTTTTATTTTTTCACTATTTGTTTTCAAATTTCATGTAAAAAGTAAGTATTTTACATTTAAAACATAGCAAAACAAGCACTGTTGACGTCACGAAAAAGAGTAAAAGAATACATTAAAATAACGGAATTGTCGGTGTCGCAATCTTGTTTATTTCATTCATGTGCTCAAATAAGAAAATACACAAGTAAGCTTATAGTGTAGATGAGTCTTGGCCTATCTCGCGTGATAGGGAATCGCGATTTTGGGCAACATTGATTTAGAGCAGTGCTGCCCATACACATACTGTTACACATTAATTTGTATTGGTAAAGCAGCAGAGAACAAAATGTAACCCAAAATAAAACTGTACTAATAAAATGACTGAAAACTAAAAAGTATATTCTAACTGTCAAATTGATATTATGGATTTTGACAGACAGCGTACATTAAAGTTCATATATAAAAAGAGAGCACAGCTGACTCTCATTTATCTACATAAATTCGGCTTTCTCATAATTTTTTTGTTGTATTTCTGTGTGGATTTTAAAAATGTTGCGTACAGATCTTACTTCGACAAATGCTGATCAGCAACTGAGTTGATTTTGTTTTGCAAGTTGAGAGATAATCAACTAACACATGCTCAAATAAGAAAATACACAATTAAGCCATGAATGAAATAAACAAGATTGCGACACCGACAATTCCGTTATTTTAATGTATTCTTTTACTCTTTTTCGTGACGTCAACAGTGCTTGTTTTGCTATGTTTTAAATGTAAAATACTTACTTTTTACATGAAATTTGAAAACAAATAGTGAAAAAATAAAAATAAGTAAATTAAAATTTAAAATGTGGTGTGCAGTCAAAAATTGCAATAATAATAATAATAATAACAAAAAATCAAAATCATGTGCAATAAGTTTTTTTAACTTTCCTTCAGATCCTAGCTTATTAAAGCAATGGAAAGTTTTTGTTGCCGCAATAAAAAAATTAACGTTAAAACGTCTAAAATCTACATGGAGCAAAACCTAAGACTTTGAAAACAATTTACAATTCGAAATGGGTTAGTATGAAGCAAATGATTTCTGTAATAAATAGATTAGTCCCTATTATATTTAAATAAGTTTAGTATTTAAATAAGTTAAATATTCCTAATAACATAAAACGTAAAATACATTTTATTTTATTAGACACAAATAAGTTTTAAACATAATTATTTACTTTTCTATTATAAATCACATACAATTCTCATATCATAAAATCAGTTCTAGGCACTGATGACGTCACTGAGCTTAAGAGTACTTTTTTAAGAGAGCCATGTCGCCATCTGTGTTTATTTCTTTATGCAATTAAGCTTATAGTGTAGGTGAGTCAACGCAACGTCAGCAGAAATTTCTTGCCCTATCTCGCGTGATAGGGAATCGCGATTTTGGGCAACATTGATTTAGAGTCTTTGCTTATAAGTGTATTAGTGTACGAATACACTTTTCTATCCGTATCTTAAGATTTTGAAGGCGTTTGGCAAATTCTATTTATATTTTATTTAATTATTCGAATAAAAACTTTTCCTGTAAAATTTACAAAAGAGGACATGTTACTAAGCTGCAGGGCCGGATGGAATTTTCCCGGCACTTTTGCAGATGGAGGCGGGACTGGTTTCCGTACATCTGTCACAGATATTCACTGCATGCTTAAAATTGGCATATACCCCAGTTAAATGGCACGATGCAAGGGTAATATTTATACCCAAACCAGGGAAACCTAGCTATGCGACACCTAAGTCCTATCGACCGATAAGTCTTACGTCCTTCCTACTTAAAACCTTGGAACGGATAGTCGATAGCATGGTTAAAAGCAGCATACCATACAAAGACCTTAAATATAAGCAGCATGCTTATGTAAAGGGACGATCGGTGGAAACCGCTTTAAACGAAGTTGTCCACTACATAGGTGAATCTTTCGATAAACTGGCGGTATGCATTGACATCGAAGGCGCTTTCAATAACGTGCACACTGATACCCTTATCCAATCCCTAGACCAGTTTTATGTTGACCGGGTGCTCCGTAACTGGATCAACTACATGCTAAGGAACAGATGGATAAGCTGCGAGATGTACAGGAAAAAGGTATTTCGCGGTATACCACAGGGTGGCAT